TTAATAGAATCACAGAATGGTTTGGGTTGGAAGGGACCTTAAAGACCATCCAGTTCCAACCCCCCTGCCATGGGCAGGGACACCTTCCACTAGACCAGGTTGCTCCAAGCCTCATCCAGCCTGGCCTTGGACACTTCCAGGGATGGGGCATCCACAGCTTCTCTAGGCAACCTGTCCCAGTGCCTCCCCACTCTCTCCTGGAAGGATTCCTTCCCGATACCCAATCTAAACCTCCCCACGTTCAATTTAACCCCGTTACCCCTTGTCCTGTCACTACAGGCCCTCATAAAAGGCCCCCCCCAGCTTCCTTGTAGCCCCTTCAGGCACTGGAAGGTGCTATAAGGTCTCCCCGGAGCCTTCCCTTCTGCAGGCTGAACACCCCAACTCTCCCAGCCTGTCCCCATAGCAGAGGGGCTCCAGCCCTCGGAGCATCTCCGTGGCCTCCTCTGGACTCGCTCCAACCGGTCTATATCCTTCTGATGTTGAGGGCTCCACAGCTGGACGCAGCACTCCAGGTGGGGTCTCACAGGAGCAGAGCAGAGGGGCAGAATCCCCTCCCTCACCCTGCTGGCCACGCTTACATTTGAGATGACAGAGCCTGACCCTTTCTAACCCTTCTAACTGGAAAGAACCCGCAGCAACTTAATGCCGCACGTAGCTGAGAACATCGGGGAGGATGTACATTCACACGCTGAATTTAGTAAGAGGCTGAAGTAACCCCAAATCCCCTTCAGGTTACTGGAATGGACAGCTGCCGTGGGTTTGGAACGTTACACTCGGTTCACTGTCCAACAGCTATGCTTTTATAATCAGGGTGGCAGGATACGGCAGAGATCTGCACCTGCAGCCAGTTAATAAACTTATTTTAGACAGCAAAATGCACCCATTTCACCCCAAATTATGCATTCGATCCCTCCAGCAAATGATTCCAGTATTTTCTGCCCAAAATATTCCGTCCTACCACCAAACACTGGTGGGTATTAACACAGGCAGAGTGAAAAAACTCTCGTGAATGCAGAGCTTGAAGGCCAAGGCAAGATGAGCTTTAAAAAGACCACAGCCAAGAACGACTGAAACCGGTCCTCCCACAGCAAAAGCAATCCCAAATCCGAAGGCTATGTGCCTTTTCTCCCCTTTCCTTTTTAAACAGCTATCAGACAGGAGGAGTGCGTGCCTCCACGCCCGCTCAGATGGAGCAACGGGGCACGGCAAAGACACAGGAAGACAACACCCGGCTACCTTCAGCTGAAAGCCGCCACTGTATCTTCTTCCCCAAAAAGGAGAACACGGATCTGGGTTCTTACCGGAGGGAAGAGGTAAGAAGTAACGGGCGCTATGAAGCCTTTTTTCAAAGGGTGAAGAATCCTCTTGGGGATTAACAAACACCTGGGACAGAGGACACGGAAGCGTTCTCTTCCTGCTGCTTCCATCCACCTCACAAACAAGGTGATGCAGCGAGTTTGTGTGGGTTCATAAAAGGATTTGGATCTCCCACATGATCTCAGAAATCCCTTCTCCATAGGGACCCACAACTTACCTGGCAGGTCTTTGGTTTGACCCAGTAACGCTCCTTCTACAAACTCATTAATGTGTATTTTTATTACCTTCTCTCTGCTTTTCTTTCCCAAAGGCCAAACTACTTAGGACAGAGGGTCTCTCTTGTCACCTTCCTGTGAAAAGGCAGCTGGGCCTCTAGCTCCCGAGCTCTGCAAAGCAACGCCACCCTGAAAGCGTACGGCCATCCTCGCTTCGAGAGCCACCTGCTGGAAATACGGCTGCAGGAGGCACCGCGCGCGGTGACGGTCTGCTACCTCCTGCTGTACACAGTGGCTTCTGGAAGAGCTGGAAGACTCCAGCCTGCCTTCCTCTTCCCCCAGCATGAGGATGAACAAAGGGCTTACGCAGGCGACTGGGGATCCAGGTGCATGAATTCTCTCCCTCAAACGGCATCCAACACCAAAACACACCTCCTCTTAACACGCCCTCCCTGAGCTAGGATTCTCTTCCGAACGGCAGCGTTACGCCCGCGCTCGGTAACGGTGACACACAGCGTTCCGCAGGGAAGGGCACACGCGCTTTCCAGACAACCTGGACTCGAAGTCCCGTTACATCCTTACCTCCTTCCGTTTTGCACTGCCGCTAGTGCCCCTTTTCAACGGCCTGGCGTTCCCACCAACGCAAGCCTGTAAAATTAGACAGAAGTTCCCATGAAATCAGTTAAGCCAACCCACCCGGCCCCAAGAGAAACAGTCGTTAAAGAAATTCAGCTGTATTTTTCCTTTTTTCCCCTCAACAAATTTTTTTTTTTAAGTTGTCCAGATTGGTCACATGCTTGGCAAATACAGAACTAAGCCAACCGTCAGCGGCAGAGTCCAGGCATACAGTCTCTAGCAACGAGTCACAGGTAATCCCTTGCTCAGCAGCCTCTTTTCAGTAACCAGGGTCTGTGCAGGACTTGAGACAGCAAGTATCGGCTCACGAAAGGACGGAAAGCTTACCAGTTCCCATTCGGAACTAATCCAAGGACATAACGGTTACAACACTCGGGAAAGACCCGCTTCAAAAATACCTTCCTGCAATTTTGTTCCACGGAGCGTTTTCAAACCAGTTACGCACTTGCGTCGCGCTCACCGCATCTAAACGCAACTGGTCGCCCTCGCTACTCCAACTTGTCTGTTGGCCCAAACCAGCTGAGGGATTTACGGAAAAGGGAAAGGGAACACCACCTCATCGTCCCATACTCAACATGTGAGAGAAGCACGGAGTTAGCTAGCGACCAGGCCCACTGAACCGGCCTTCCTGCCCTCCTCACCTTATTGCTGCTGTTGTCTTTCTTGGCGGACGGTCTATTCTCTCCCTCTTGAGACTGTTTTGAACTAGCCCTAGTTTCCACTCGCGAGTCCTTCTCTTGCAGGGATGAATTCCTCCCATTGCCTCCCTTTCCACCAACAACAGCACTTCTGCTCACTGCGCCTTTGCGGCTGCGGTGTCCCGGCATGGTTCGGCTGCCACCGGGTCGCGGACGATCCTCCTCTTCCAACGCCGCGTTCTTCGCCGCCGCCAACGCTTGGCCTTGGCTCTCGGGTTTCAAGGGAGCTTTCTGCTCCCCTCCTTTACACACGGAAGGCTTATTTCTCCATATGGGAATCCTTGACTTGGATATATCCGGAAGAGACACCACTGCCTTCAGAATCATTTTACCGACAGAGGAAGATTTCTTGACAGATAAAGAGGGGTTTAACGTAACTACCCTGCAGGTTCCACCAGTCCTTGCTGGTCGCGGCCCTTTATTTGGGTGCGCTTTGATTAACTTTCCCTTGCTGCTCTCACCGACAGCACCTGCTGCGCTTTCCACAGCCGCCGCAACCCGGGCCACACGTTTCGCGGGTTTCTTTTCTCTCTCCATCCCAGTCTTGACCAAACGCTTTTCCGGGTTCTCCTTCACAGCTCTTCCAACTCTGAGCACAGGCTGTTCTGGTTTCACCGCTTTGTTGGCTCTGGCTACGTCCGGTTGCTTCTTCGTGGCCAAGCCAGTTTTAACTACAGGGCTCTTCCCCGGGCTCGGGGTCACAGGCATGCCATGTTTGGTCTGCACAGCAACAGGATTTTTTCCCGGAGAATCCAACCTGTTGGCTTGCGCGCCGACAGCCGGCCCCACATCTGCCGACGCTGCATCGGAAGCAGGGGGCAGCACTTCAGGGACAGCCCCCGTCGACTCCTCTGCTGCCAGCTTCACAGCACAGCCCGGCAGCACGTCTTCGGCCTTGACCGCATCCCGCAATCCCGGTGGTTCAGCGGCAGGAGCTGACAACTCCTCATCTCCCATTTCCTTCTCCGGGGCGGATGCAACAGCAGAGTCTAACAGCTCTGCTTTGATATAAACCGCCTCTCCTTTCTCCACGCTGAAGGAAGGCAGCGGCATCTCTTCTGACCTCCCCTCAGATGGCTCGGTATCGGCGGATTTCACGGATGCCACGGGAGCTTCAACTCCAGCGTCTTCTTTCTCCAGAGACGTTTCTGCCGGCCTCGGAACGGAGTCCCTTCCTGCTCTCTCAAGGGACCCAGAGGGCTCTATCTGTACTGCTGCCGTCTTGTCTTTGCCATGAGAGACGGGAACGGGCCCCTTCTTTGCCACACTAGGCTCTACCGCAGGATTAGCAGCTGCTGTTTGCGCCACTCCTGATCCCTCTGGATATACTTTCAAGTCAGAGCTAAATGCATTTGAAAAAAACAGAAGAAATCAAACGATGTTGAGAATTCTACAGTTTACAATAAGCTCTTGACGCCAACGGTGAGGGATTTCCTGATGCATTAGTGCTTAGCATTTGGAAATCTAGCTAAAGTGGTTCAAAATATTGAGGTGAATAGCTGATTAGCTTTAGGCTTCTCTTTAATCCACCTCAGTACCACAAGCCGCTTACACTTCAAATTACATCGCTCAGAGTCAGACCTCGGAGGCAGCACTCGCTCCCTACGGACCTGTGACCTCTGCGCTGGCACGAGCTCCCAAAATTTAGATCCTCTGCCACAAGGCAAGACTGCGAGAGGGTACACACGGCCAAAACGGAGATGCGGTCTCCCCGCACAGAGGAACTCCCACCCGTTTTGTGTTTGAAGACAGCAGGCTCTGCAGCCACCAACCCAGAGAGCCTAAGCCAGTCGGTAGACTCGGAAGGCTGGTCGTGGCCTCGGGGGGAGGGAGGGGTTGTTTTGGTTCTACGAGCTCGCACCATAGCAGGGAACACAGTGCACAGCAGCTCCGCTGGGCCAGGCTCTGTTTGCGCTGTACAATCCCACCGTCAGCTCCCAGGGTAATGAAGCCCAAGATGACAAGGCAGAGGATAACGCTTTTCAGAGAATTTGCGTTACAGTAAGTGCGTTATTCTTCTCTGAAAGAAAGAATCCTCCGTGGATGATCTCGGCAGACACTGAGAAGAGAGATGTCTGTGCCCCTTTTCCCGAGGGAAAATGAGCATCCCAACACCTCCCGCATCCACCGGCGGAAAGGTGGCGAAGTAGCAACGCTGAGAATCTCGTTAAGGGCGAGAAATAAACCCAAAAGCAGCAACGCACACAATTAATCCGTGGTTATGCACGACAGAGCAGCCCGCACTCCGGATTCCCGGATCCTATGTAAAGGGTGCACATTGGTATACGCCCTCAGGAGCGTGCAGAAGAGCGGAGAAGCCTGACATTTTGGTAACAGTCCTGGTGTCAGCAAGAAAACAGAAGGCGAGATCAAATGGATCTCAGCACTGCAGGGAATGCTAAGTCTTGAAGTGATGCGAGGTTCAACGAGACGAAGACACGAAGTCAACAGAAAGAGGAAAACAGGCACATTCCATGAATATCTGTGCTATGCAAGCAGAGCAAAACCACCCATCTCCAAGCTTTCCTCCGGACCCGAGGGCACTGTCCTCTGCTGCTAAAAAAGGTGACAGGAGAGACAAGAAGGGCTGTGAATTTAGCTTCAAAAACTCTTTCACAACACCAAGTTCAACAAGGCCAAGTGCAAGGTCCTGCACATGGGTCAGGGCAATCCCAGCACAAGGACAGGCTGGGTGCAGAGTGGATGGAGAGCAGCTCCAAGGAGAAGGACTTGGGGGTACTGGGGGATGAAAAGCTGGACATGAGCCGGCCGTGTGCGCTGGCAGCCCAGAAAGCCAACTGCTTTGCTCTGCTGTGCTCTGGTGAGACCCCACCTGGAGTGCTGCACCCAGCTGCGGAGCCCCCAACATCAGAAGGATATAGGCCGGTTGGAGCGAGTCCAGAGGAGGCCACGGAGATGCTCCGAGGGCTGGAGCCCCTCTGCCATGGGGACAGGCTGGGAGAGTTGGGGTGTTCAGCCTGGAGAAGAGAAGGCTCCGGGGAGACCTTATAGCACCTTCCAGTGCCTGAAGGGGCTACAAGGAAGCTGGGGGGAACTTTTTACAAGGGCCTGCAGTGACAGGACAAGGGGTGACGGGTTTAAATTGAAAGTGGGGAGGTTTAGATTGGATATCAGGAAGAAGTTCTTCCCGGCGAGGACGGGGAGGCACTGGGACAGGTTGCCCCACTCTGTGCCTTCCACAAAGCCCTAGTCATGTCAAAACACACGGATAGGATAGAATCAAACCAGACCGTGATGCAGTGGGAGGAGAGCTCTGGAGAGGCAGAAATGTGCAGGGATAAAGATCAACGAGCCTGACGTAGCATCAAGGTGCTTGAATAAACACTCAGAAGATCTGTTAGGCACCGGGAAACAAACCACGTAGACCTGCAAGCCACATTTCCTGCACAGAAGTCAGTGTAGAGGGTAATCCCAAGGATTCCTGGTGTCTAGGTTTCGTGTAGGACATCCCTGCACTGGATGCCACATGCAGCCATCACTGCCGAGCCTGTGAGAGAAAGGCTTGGGGCACTGGGTCCTAGAAATGACAGCAGAGAGGCTGTGCTCCAAAAGACACAACCTGCTCCCTCATCGGCTCAGGACTGAAAGGAGCAGCAGGACAGTTCTTGATTCTTAGCCTGGCCTAGGAAAGTTTCAGCTGCTTTAGCTGAAGAAAATAAATCCCAACAAAATGGATCGGCATCCTCAAAAAGGATGCACGCAAGGACGTCGGTCACCCCAGCTGCAAGGTCAGATGAGCTACCTATGCAGGCTGGACCAAACCGAGCTTCCAGAAGATTTTCAGGATCAGGCTGCTGGGAGGGCAGCCCCTTCTGCTCCCCAAATTTCTCTACTCCTTCCCTCCCCAGGAACACGTGACAAGGTGTTCCCATATAAATCATACAGATGATTTTCTGCTCCTCGTAAGACAGAACTGGACAAAGTAACGGTCAGGTTGCAAAGGCTTACAAGGAGAAGGCACACCGCGCTATTCGCAGGAAAACGTCAGGCTTCCCAACTGTTCAGCAGCTGCAGCAGGACGCTGGGCAGGAGCTGGGATCCGTGGGTCTGATAAATCCCCAGGGCTAGCTAAAGCACGGCCTGCCGTCAAAACGGCTTCCTGCACCGGAGACGGGCCCGAAACTAAGTGCCTGATGCACCCCATGGTCTTAAAGGTCTTTCCCAACCTAAAAGAACCCGTAAAACCAACAAGGGCCTGAAGTTGCATTAAATTAGGAGTGCCTAACTTTAGTTTTGGAAGAAACAGGTTTTGGAAATACAGCCACGGTTCGTGACAGTATAATGGCATCACTCCAAGTCCAGGACCACTATTACACAGCTGCTTTTGGGTTTTTTTAATGATAAAACTTATCCAGAAATACGGCTTCGAGTCACAGAAGGTGTTTAAAGTCATATTCGGTAACAAAATCATCTCTCCATTTATAAAAGCATTCCCAAAACATAAATCAAGTCTCTAAACCCAACAGGTAATTACTCCACAATTAGACATTTTACTACAAGCAACTTTCATAAAACAACTTGAAATGGAACACACCAAACCCACCACTTCCCACTTCCAGGTCCTGATGTCAGTACAGCATCTAAACGGTTTTACAGAATCAATTCAGGGTCCTGCGCCACAGCATGCAGTTAATGAGTTAAAACAAGGAAGTTTCGGTTTCTTTTTAGCATTTGGAAACAGAAGCGAGAGAGCCAGGTGCTCTGACAGAGGAAAGGGCTGAAGGACAAAATAAAGCAACCGTTTCCTGAGGAAATACAACAAAAAATTGTCTTACCAACATGTAATTCCACACATACTTTTCCAGGACCTGTGGTAAAATCCTGGTTGTGGTTAGTTAAAAGAGTAACAACTCAACGAGCTACACAGGAAACGGGACTTCACCCCGTCTGTCCACACTCTTGGAAAGCCCCAGATTCCAGAGCGAGTAAGTACCGCACCGCGAGAGCGACGCACAGCACGTCCTGCCCACGGAACACACGCCAGCTTGAAAGGAGTAACAGCAGTAACAGTTGAGGGATCTCACAGCGGGCTCTGTGGGCAAGCTTGGAGAGAGGCTCAGCCATCTGCTTCCTCCAGGGCAGGCACTCCATGAGCCACAGGGACATACAAAAACCCCTCAGACATTTAAAAGGCGTACCTTCCTCCGCTCGGCTCCTCCATCTTCACTTCCGTTTTCACCACCTCAGCCTGAAAGGCAAAAGTCAAGGGCTCAGCGCGCGCAGCTCGGAGAAGCATCGGCTCTGAATCTGCGTTAAGGCAGCTAATTAATAACCCCGCCGACCCAAACGGAGGCAGCTCTCGCCTGAAAGGTCAAAGGAGAGCAAAGTGTTCCGAGACCCTTCCCCCCCAAGGCCACGGGTTTCACAAGGTGACGCGCAGGCAGGTGGCAGCGCAGACGTCACTCCAGAGAGCAGACCCAAGGGCAGATTCTATTCCCTAGCAGCACTCGTTTCTTGTAGGACGGCTGCAGGTTCCCGCTTCCGGTTACGTCGAGCAAGCCTGTGGGATACGTACGGAATGAAAAAACGTCCCCTGCCAAAACAACAACCACAGGCCATCCCGGCTCCGAGGCCGTCGCGGTTGAACCCCGACAGCTCCGAGCGACTCACAGACAACTTAAACTCGGGGTTGAAAACTCCATCGCACTCCTAGCAGCATTCCAGGAACTCGGCTGGAGACTTAAGGCTGCGAGAAAGGGCGTCAGATGACTTCAGGGCACGCAGAATTCACCGTCATCTTTTATTTATGCCCCTAATTCCACAGCCTGGGGTCTTCCCGGTTTAAAAAGGGTTTATTCCAGAGGTAAGTGCCGAAAGTAATTCGGACATGTTATAATGAATTAAAAACAATCTGCTTTTTCCCCTCAGACTGGCTCCTGAAAGAAAGGCTGCGAGAGAAAAGAGCGTACAGCAAAGGGAGCCACACCGCTCCTTCTGGGACCTGGGCAGGTAGATTCCAGCAACATAACCCAGAAGACGGACAATCGGTAACAGCCATCCCTGGAAGTGTCCCAGGCCAGGCTGGATGAGGCTTGGAGCAACCTGGTCTAGTGGAAGGTGTCCCTGCCCATGGCAGGGGGGTTGGAACTGGATGCTTTGCAAGGTCCCTTCCCACCCAAACCATCCTATGACTAACAGACTCAAAAGGCAGAGATGGAAAAAAATCCATTTTCCCTCTTATCGGTGTGAGCAGGCATTGTTCTCTCCACCTCAGAGAAAGATAAAAATAGAGCTTAGAGTGTATCTAAAGTACAGATTTATTTTAGTTTTACTTTCTTGACTCAGACCGAAACAGCCCCAGTTGCAGCCAGGCTGCAGGATGCTCTATTCCTCCTTCACTGTTACAGAGGATTCCTCCTCTTCTTTTTGCTCCAGCAATATGAAACCGAGACATTACCAACACCACCGTAACTGACTACAAGCAAGCTGGAGGTGACTTTTTACAGTGGCAGGGAGTGACTTGGGTTGGAAGGGACCTTAAAGCCCCCCCACCCCCCCCCCCTGCAGGTTGCTCCAAGCCTCATCCAGCCTGGCCTTGGACACTTCTAGGGATGGGGCATCCACAGCTTCTCTGGGCACCCTGTCCCAGTGCCTCACCACTCTCTCCCGGAAGAACTTCTTCCTGATGTCCAATCTAAACCTCCCCACTTTCAATTTAAACCCGTTCCCCCTTGTCCTGTCACTACAGGCCCTTGGAAAAAGTCCCCCCCAGCTTCCTTGTAGCCCCTTCAGGCACTGGAAAGTGCTATAAGGTCTCCCCGGAGCCTTCTCTTCTCCAGGCTGAACACCCCAACTCTTCCAGCCTGTCCCCATGGCAGAGGGGCTCCAGCCCTCGGAGCATGTCCGTGGCCTCCTCTGGACTCGCTCCAACAGGTCCCCATCCTTCTGATGTTGAGAAAGCAGAAATCTTACACTGAAAGGAAGAACACTCACCTCAGGAGGCTCTCCGCTGGGTGACAGCGAGCAGGTCAGGGTATGCTTCCCCATATTATATGGATATTGCTTCAGGAAGCTGTACATGGACCTGGCTGACTGGGAACTGTCGAGCTGTAGAATTGCCTAAAAGGGAAGAAAGCACAAGCTTCGAGGAACTGCTGCACCATCATGTTTCTGCACTGCAGAAGGCATTTAATAAATGAAGCTGGCGTAGCACGTGATATCTAGTATTCCTGAGGGGCTCCAACATCCTCGTTTGAAATCAGATGTAAGCAGCATTTTTAGGATTTCTGGGTGTGGAGAATAGTGGGCTCTCTTCTTTCCGAGAGGCTGAAGAGAGAAATCTCTCCATTTGGAATTAACTTTAGAACTCAGTAAGGAAAGTGGAGCCTGGAGCTGCCCTAACCTCACGCATCAGGCACTGGTAGGGGCTGCCCAGGGAGGTGGGGGAGTCCCCATCCCAGGAGGGATTGAAGAGCCGTGTGGGTGTGGTGTTCAGGGACATGGGTTAGTGGTAGGCTTGGCCATGTTGGGTTAACAGGTTAGACTGGATGGTGTTAAAGGTCTTTTCCAAGCTAAACGATTCCATGATTCCACATGTCCAACCTTCAGGCTCCTGGACACATTCAGCTTTGACGCTGCCGTAAGTCATGAGCATCTCCCCACGAGGGGAAGGGGAAGTGCGTGCCCGTGAACAAAGTTGCGAGATTACACATACCAAGGGAACAGTGACACGACCTACACACAAACCCACAGCTGCAGCAGCAATCTCCCTTCTCCACCATTCAGCCACCCAGTTCGTTAGCCTGAGAGTTTTACAGGTCACCTTGAAAAATTCCCAGCTGCTGGAGCTGTGTTCTAAAGCTGATTGCACCTCTCTTTGTTTGTTTGTGTGCCTCTCTCAATTTTAAGCCAGCCTTAAATAAGCCACGTGCCTTTTAATCTTCCTTAGAAAATTCTGTGCTTCCATGCTTTAATCATGGAACAGTTTGGGTTGGAAGGGACCTTAAAGCCCATCCAGTTCCAGCCCCCCTGCCATGGGCAGGGACACCTTCCACTAGACCAGGTTGCTCCAAGCCTCATCCAGCCTGGCCTTGGACACTTCCAGGGATGGGGCATCCACAACTACTTCCCACGGAATCAGCACTCTGATAGGGTTTGATGGCACAGCTTGCTTCCTGATCCGTTCTCAACAGAGAACACAGTAAAGATCCCAGAAGGGCAGAGGTGTTTTGTTCTGGTGTGGGTTTTTTAAGGAAAAAAAAGGGGGGTGGCTTTACTCAGGGCTGGCTTTCAACTGAAACAGCCAGCCAGTGGGGTTAGCGGCTTCGGAGCACATTTGGTGCTCAACTCAACTACTGGCTGAAGGTCTAGGAATTCGCCCCAGATGTTTCACAGACTGCAGAGTTCTTTACGGCATTGCAAAAATGATTTAAAAAGTGGTTTTATTTAAAAAAAGAAAAAAAGGAAAAGTACTGTATTTTTCTTAAAAGCATCTTCACCTGCTTTACGGTTTATTAGCTGGACTCTTAAAACAGCTCGTCATAACGGGAGCAAAATTCCACGAGAATCGTTCAAACACACACACACGGTCAGTTAAATCCCAGTGATAACGAAAGAACCCAAGGCTAAGTGCAGAACCAGCAACATTCCAAATCAAAGCAGCAAAATTAAAATCCAAATCCGAGTCATCAGGCTGGGACGTGCCCCGTAACCAGAAAGGCGTTTCAGGCACCCCGACGTTTTCACTTCTCCTGACAAATTCATCTTTTTCCCTCGAGTTTCCTTCGAAAGAGGAACTCGTTTTCCTCCCGCTCGCACTTCCAACCTCAAAGGTTAGTAAGCAAACTAGAGGCACGACTTTCTTGTTCGGAATGAGCCTGAAAGAGCCCAAAACCCTGATGTCTCATTAGCAGAACATTCCTGGTCCTGGGAGAGGAAAAGAAGTTCTCATCCCCCCACCCCCACCCCCTCCCCACATGGTACTTTTCACCCCAGAAAAACAGTAACTTACCTTGTTTCTATTCTTCAGCACAACGTAATTATCTACTTGTCCAAATCGCAGCCCCACGCAAACCACTTCCAGTTCTCTGTACCCGTCATCCGGCAAGTTCCCGAGGTGCACAAACTGGTTGTGTATCGTTTCGGCGTTCACCTGAGGAAAAGCGACGGCAAAGCGCGCTTTAACCGGGTAAGACACTCAGTAGCAACCGCCGACCCAGGTGAGAAAGGCCCCACCGCTTCCACGCCACTCGGATCTGGTGGAAAAAGAGCATTCGCACACACCTGCGGCTCCCATTTTCACATTCACATCAGGCTGTTCCAGTCAAAAGAATCAGCTACACTCCCCCGTCAAGAGTAACAAGGACCAAGTTGAGTGTCTTGTAGTATCATTCAGACTGACTCACTGGTAAAAGGCTTCTCTTTAAGGAAAACAGCCCAGGTTTAAGCAAAATCCGGTATTTTGAAAAGCAGACACTACCTAGTCAGACCACAAACCCCTCAAGGCACAGAAACCTATCCAACAGGCTGCAATCCTGCTTTTGAAGTCGGAGTTTGGTTGACTTGACCGGCGTGTAACAACATAAAGACCCTTGGTCAAACCTCACTTCCTGTGTTGCTCAGTGCTCAGAGTTCAGACAGGCTACTGGGGAGAGCGCTCCGTCCCTCCTGAGTGGGCAGGATCCTGGTGCCGAGCGCAGAGCCACGCCGTGCCAGCACAGGTGCCGACTGAACCCCAGCACCCACTGTTTCGTGCAGGACCAGAGGGAAAGGCCCTGGGACACAAAATCCAAAGGCACTCGTAGACTTCTGAGATATTAAATAACTCCTAAATACCTGAAAAACCGCAACGCTCACTCCCACCCAGCCAGAGGGCTTTTTCCCTCCCCCTCTCCAGGAATGGTATGTTTTCTTTCCATTATTTATCGCTTTTCTGGGAGGGGAGCGGAACCATTCCAGCCGAGCAGATCAGAGGCGTAAGCAGGACGGGGCAGCAGGGGTGGTGGCGCTCAGTAAGTGCTCAGACGTGTCGGTCAGTGCCAAACAACCATCCTTAGAAGAAAGCAGCTACCCCCCAGAGACACTTGCAATTGAAAATTCCAGCCTCCTGGGACTTCTCGGAAAGGGGTTTATCGTCGGCAGAGCCGTATGCTCTGTAACCAACCGCACTCCGCTTCCGACGCTGCTGTCCCTAAAGTCACGCTTTAAGGAGTTTTGTGCCAGCTGTTTAAGCCCAGAGACACATTCAGACTCAATGACCGACCCCCTCGAGCCTGTCCTGAAAACATTTTCCATGGAAGACACAAAAGCCATCATTCCATTAACCTCTGCCTTCCTACACGGCATGAAAACGCCCCGTAGGCCAACTGCCAGCTTGCCCCCCGGACAGAAGGAGCAGGAGGGACAAGACGGGGGACAGGCTATGCCGAAGGAAGCACAGGGGTTGTTTTGATAGTTAACCCAAAATATCAGTCTATAAAACAGAGGGAAAAGGGGCGGCATTATACACAGGCAAACAACATTCTCCAAGCGTCAGCGCTCAGCAGCTACTTGCTGGAACACGAAACAAAGGTAACAGAAGGGGAGGGTCTCAGAGGACTCTTAAATGTTTCATTCCCTGCGCTTCATGCATCATGGAGCTAAACTAAATGGGCACTTACTCATTCTGCTCCCTGCTCATTCGCCCATGAAAACATATATAAACATTTAATTCAAGAGAAAGCCGAGAAAACAGTTCCATCAGCTGGTATTTCAGACCAAGTGAACTCATTCTTATTTCAAGTAACGTATCTTGACAGCACATGGAGGAAAAGTTAGCTTGCCAGCAACTTACCTTAGCGTCAGATTTTTTAATTATAGCAGTAAATATTGCTTCCTTTAAGAAAAAACAAACAAAAAAGACATTATAAGGTTTGTGTATGAATTACCATAAAATGCATAGAATCACAGAATGGTTTGGGTTGGAAGGGACCTTACAGACCACCCAGTTCCAACCCTCCTGCCATGGGCAGGGACACCTTCCACTAGACCAGGTTGCTCCAAGCCTCATCCAGCCTGGCCTTGAACACTTCCAGGGAGGGGGCATCCACAGCTTCTCTGGGCAACCTGTTCCAGTGCCTCCCCACCCTCCCCGGGAAGGATTCCTTCCTGATGTCCAATCTAACCCTCCCCACTTTCAATTTAAACCCGTTCCCCCTTGTCCTGTCACTCCCTGCCCTTGTAAAAAGTCCCCCCCAGCTTCCTTGTAGCCCCTTCAGGCACTGGAAGGTGCTATAAGGTCTCCCCGGAGCCTTCCCTTCTCCAGGCTGAACCCCCCAACTCTCCCAGCCTGTCCCCATGGCAGAGGGGCTCCAGCCCTCGGAGCATCTCCGTGGCCTCCTCTGGACTCGCTCCAACCGGTCTATATCCTTCTGATGTTGAGGGCTCCACAGCTGGACGCAGCACTCCAGGCGGGGTCTCACGGGAGCAGAGCAGAGGGGGAAAAAGAGCTGTGCAGCAGCAGCAGCTAACCGGCAATCACTGACTCCTAACCACCTCTTAGTTTCTGCTTTATTACTAAAATCAACAGCATCAGCACTTCTGGCATCAGTGTTGATCTCGTATCAGAAGACCAGGACCCCAGACGACCACTGAACGGAATCAGCCCTTGACAGGACAAGCCATCAGGATGCTTCAAACAGGCAGTATGAAAAAGTCAGCCTAAGCCCTGCTCCGCAGGGAAATTTGAGCACCCAGCCCAAAATCTCGGTGGGTTTCCTTACCTCATCTTTTATGGTCTTGAACTGAGGCACCATGTTGATGCAGAGCTGATTTCCATCCAGGAACCTTGGAAAGCAGGTGTAAAACTTCACCATGGAGTCTGCAGATTTTCGATTCATTTCCAGATAGGCCTTTTGAAACAAACAGAAAGTTGCAAGAACCAACCGCCGTTCACGAAAAGCACCTCCCACGCCTCGGTACCCCCCGTGTGCACCCCTTCAGAACGCATCTGCTGCCCCCCTCGGTGGAAACACCCCTCACTGCCCCTCAGAATACCTTTTTGTGAGATGATAAGATCAGCACATCCCTCAGTCCTCCGAATGGCCTCGCTAGGTTGGAAATTTCCTCAACGGAATATCCTTTATCAGCCAAGTTGGAAATAAGAACCACACACACATCCTCGAGTTCCTGTAAAGAAGGGAAAGCGAGCGTTACCCAGATTTCGTCAAAACCGACGAGAGCGTGTATTTTCATGGCGCAAACCCACCGATAAGCTGCACGCGGCGCTTAAAGGCAGGTGATAAATCTTGTGATACCCCAAACCCAAAGCCCGTTTAATATTTAGTAGCTGATATTAAACAATTTTAACCCTATTCTCTAATTACGTCACAGAGTCACCTTAATTACTGCCTAACCGTGGATGGATCTACCCCTACGCTAATTCTGCACACACCGCAGGCTGGCTCATGCCACCTCGGCAGAACTGCCTGCTACTTCACACCCGTGACATGCCCACACACCAGGTGCTAGGTGTCTGCAGAGGAGACCCCCCCCTCTTTAATCTGAAGAGGAGAAACCCACAGGAGGGCAACACCGACCATCCCGGCATAAAGCAGCTTGGGTGTACGGAGCAGACGCGGAGGGGAGAAGACAAGGCCGGAGGAGCGATGGGGTAGGTGCACACACAGCAAGCAGAAAATAAGCTTCTCAGCGTTTCTCACGAGGAATTAACAGGCAGGGGGTTTCCGTTGGAGGTTTTCAGGCAGCACACCAGCACTTGGAAACCAGCACCAAGCACGTACGTGCAACTTCCACAGGTTCAAGCACCTCAGACTGACCTTGGGCGCCGGTTTCGTTGCCTCTTCACTCCTCGCAGTCGCTACCGCAGCTTCTAAAAAAGGCAGAGGGGGTGGAGGGGCAGTTTAGTAGTGCAGCAGGTTTCTGGAGAGCCTTTGGTACTTCTTGCATTGCACTTTACCACCACTGTCATCATCCAAAATGAAATATTCCCTCGCTTCACTTGCAGCGCCAAGTGACACTGCCGAGACACGCACGCAGTTGTGTAAAGGCTTCCAGAAAGCACAAGCTGAAGTAGGGATTTTTTTAAGTAAATTAAAAGCCCGTAATTAAGATGCAAACACTTTGCTGACATCAGCTGCACAAGGTTTGTGTCTGCTTCTAACGGATTCCACAACTACAGCCTTGCCCACCTCCACTGCCGCAGAGCAACTCCGGACTAACACACACTTGTGCTGTGCTTAAAACAAAGTCTGTTCCTGATCACTTAAAAATACAGGGGAAATAGCATCTCTTGAACCAGCTCCAGCAGGCTACGTAAAGCCTTGAGATTCAGAGAACGAGAGGTGAAGCTGTGCGTTCGGAAAGCCCGAACCCTTCACTCGATGAGGCGTCAGTACAAGCCCCAGCGCCGCAGCGAAAAGGTCTAGGCCAAAATGCCGGGTCTGCTGAGATGCGGTGGCAGGACACGGGGTAATGGGGTTAAACTGGAATAGGGAGCTTGAGATGGGACATCAGGAAGGAATTCTGCCCAGAGAGGGTGGGGAGGCACTGGGACAGGTTGCCCAGAGAAGCTGTGGATGCCCCATCCCTGGAAGTGTCCAAGGCCAGGCTGGATGAGGCTTGGAGCAACCTGAGTTATGGAAGGTGTCCCTGCCCATGGCAGGGGGGTGAGTGGGTGGTCCTTAAGGTCCCTTCCCACTCAAAGCAACTCCCTGATTCTACGACAGAAATGAGAAAAACGCCATCAGTTTGCAACTTACTTTTCTCACTTACAGCTTCATTAACCTGCGAGTCCAGCACCGCCACCGGAGGCACCTGTGCAGGTTTATCTAAAAAACCACACAAATTCAAGAAGTTAAACATCACATAACTTACCTGTAAGTGAACAAAGGCATTATCGTACCAGATTTACCTGGGGCAGGTGCAAGACTGGCCACTCCTTTGGCCTGAGTCTCTCCTGTCTTCGCAGGCTCCGTAACTCCGTCCCCTCTGGTAACGTTCTTTGGGTCTGACGGAGTTTCCGTTTCAGCTTCTGCTGCGAGCTGAAGGTCTTCACCTGGAGATTTTGCTGGTAGTAACAGCAGAAAAAAAGCATTCTTTATTCCAATATATTAAACTCATCCATTTGCAAAAGAAGGAATCGGCTATACGTTTTTCTGCCACATGTTCAGAGGCCCATCAGAGAAATCCCTGCTCCTCGTTGCAAACAGGGAGAAGAGGGACGGCGAGGACAAGCTGTGCAAACCACGCGTACGGCTGTGGCTGTGCGGAGGAGCCTGGTTCCCCA